AAAGTAATTAGATGAAGCACGAATAAAGGTTTTTGCTGCAGTTGTGTTAGTACCAAACATATACTGTACAGTAGTAAACCCCTCTGTTTAGGAAATATGGCATGAAGTCTGCTGAGTCAACTGATTCAGAAATAACTGACAGAGTTTGTTGGTCACAAGTTTTGTTATTATTAACAACCATAAAGGTTATTACCAACCAGCTGCTCTCCCCTCTTAGTCCATTAAATTGAGGGTTTACTGGTTTTAAAATGTGCTCATCAAGATTTTTCCAGGATGGTTTTCATTTATCTGCTCTGCATTCTTTTGACTTAAATATGTGCTATTTTTTTTTTGTCTGTATTCAGGATGAGTTTTCTCGCCTTAACTAAACACACGATTTTTTACAAAAAGCTTCACCTGCAGCAGAGGTAGTGCAGGTTTTGAGATTTGTCTTCAGTTCATTCTTATCTCATCTTCAAGTTGACTCAGATGCCTTTAGTCTTCTTCATGTTGCTCTACCTTGCCTGAAGACTGCCTTTGATAACTTCTTGCAAGAGTGTGGAAGAGAAGCCAGGACAAACATAGATAGAATTATTGAGATACTTCAGGTATGATATTTGCAGCATGATACAATTTAACAATACTTTTCCAAATTTTACTTCACTTAGATACAAAAATTTCACCAAGGAGATGTAATTGTTCATGATTTTTCTGAGTTCTATTTAAGGAGCGCTGTGATTCCAATCTAATTAATTTACTTTCCATGACTTTAAACCAATACTTATAGGCATTCTTAACCAAATAATTTAAATTTTTATTGGGATTTGATTCTGAGGGAGGGGCAGGGAGGCTGCAGTTTGAAGGGTCATTTAACTCCTAAACGGTCCAAACGTATATATACGTTCTTATGTGTAGCACCCCAAACGTATATGTACGTTTTAATTTTCTTGCCTTTAAATTTGGCGCAATTGCCCGGAGATGCCTGGTCAGCATAGAATGGGTCTTAACACTCGGTGTGCACCGTATTAAAAATGGGACCACTTAGTACCTTGTGGGAGCGCCAGCTAGAGCAAACAGTGCGGCAAACACCAAGGGTTCACTGATGTAATGTCATATTAACACTTCTCTTTTAAGAGGAAAGTGATGTTAACCCCAAGTTTAGTGTCTGTCAGTCTCTGTCTATCTCTGTTTGTCTCTATCACACAGACCCATGCACGCATCACACAGACATCACGCAGACACGGACACACACACTCACTCATCTCACACACACACACACACACACACACACACACATCACACACACACACACACACACACACACACCACACACACACAACACACATCACACAGCACACACATCACACACACATCACACACACACACACACACACATCACACACAGACACACATGTCACACATCACACATGTCACACATCACACACACACACATCACACACACACACACATCACACACACATCACACACACACACATCACACACACACACACACACACACACACACACACACACACACACACACAACACACACACACACACACACACACACACACATCACACACCACACACACACACACACACACACACACACACACACACACACACACACACACATCACACAGACCCATGCACCACATTGCGCGCACACACACACACATCACACAGACCCATGCACACATCGCACACACCCACACACACATCACACAGACCCATGCACACATCACACAGACACAGACATCACACACAATCACACAGACATCACACACACACAGACATCACACACACACACAACATCACACACACACAAACATCACACACACACAAACATCACACACACACAACATCACACACACACACACACACACACCACACACACACACACACACACACACACACACACACACACACACACACACACACACACACACATCACACACATCACACACACACAAACATCACACACACACAGACACCACACAGACACCACACAGACACCACAAGACACACACACACACAGATGAGAATGGTTCTGGTAGGGAGGAGTGGATGGAGGAGCAGTGGAAAAGGATGGAACAAGAGTGGGAGAGAAAATTAGGAGAGCTTTCTGAAAAAATGGAGAAAGAGCTCTCTGTGAAATTGGAAAAGAGGTTGGAGAAGGAGACAAAGAATTGGGAGGCACAAGTCGAAACTGCAGTAGCCAAGAAAAGGGTCCTAGAAGTTGAGATAAATAGGCTGAAGCGAGTTACAGGGGCAGTGACCAGAGAAGACACAGCATATGAAGCTGCGAGGCCGAACAGGAAGGAAGGAATTATGAATTATGCTAAGGTCATATCAACCTGCCAAAAAGAGCCAAGGAGTGGAAGGGAAGAACAGCTGGTTGCAGATGGAGAGGGTGATAGGTCGAATGCTGAGGCACAACCATGCTATCAAGAGCCACTGGAAAAATCAAGGGAGAAACTGACCACATACAGGCAGGATCCAGAGTCAGAGGGTGAGGCAATGGGAGGAGGAAAGGGCAAAATCAGTGTTTATCCATGGGCTTCAGGAGAGAGAGGAAAGGACACACACTGAAAGGCAGACAGGAAGAAAAGTAGGAGATGAGAAAATCATCACTGAAATAGGTGAAGAGATGGATGAGATTGTAAATTTTCAGAGAATAGGGGGGTACTCGAAGGGGAGAAACCGACCAATCAAGCTGATTCTCAGGACGGAAAACAGTTGGGAACAGGATCCCCCAAAAGAGAAACCACGATTGAAATACTCGGAAGAGTACAAGATGGTGTTCCTAGACAGAGACAGAACAAAATCAGAACAACAGCAGCTGAGGGAGAGGACAAAAAAGCGGAAGGACAAGGAAAAGAGACAAGGATGGAACCAGCAGAGGTCAGTCAGAGCAGAACAGAACAGAAAGGGACAAGCACACACACAACTATTCTCAGAACCATACAACCTATCACACCATCCAACACACACTACAATCCATACCCACAGCCTCCACCCAACACCGAGCTATAGAATCCCACAGTATGCCACCAGGTCTCCCACCCTCACAGGCCCCACAAACCACAGTGTTGGAAAGGAAACTGAAGGTATGGTACACAAACGCTGATGGTATAACAAATAAGTGGGAGGAGTGGCATGAAAAATCAAAGAGGCATCACCGGGCATCATACCTCTCACAGAAACCAAGCTTACAGGTATGATAACAGATGCCATCTTTCCAATGGGATACCAAATCCTGAGGAAAGACAGAGGGAACAGGGGGGTGGAGGAAATGGCATTGCTGATCAAAAATCGCTGGAATTTTGATGACTGGAGAGAGGAGACAGCGAGAAGAAAGTGATTACATAGCGGGACCGCTTTACCTGGAGGTCCCAAGGTGGTAATAGCAGTGATGTATAACCCACCACAGAACAGCAGGAGGCCAAGGCAAGAGTACAACGAGAGCAATAGAGCGATGGTTGACACACTGGCTAGAGTGGCCAGAAGAGCTCATGCATGCAGGGCAAAACTCCTGATCATGGGTGACTTTAACCACAAGGAGATCGATTGGGAGAACTTGGACCCGCATGGGGGCCAAGATACATGGAGGGCTAAGATGATGGAGGTGGTACTGGAAAACTTTATGTACCAACACATAAGGGACACTACAAGAGAGAGAGGAGAGGATGAACCAGCAAGGCTAGACTTAGTATTCACCTTGAGTAGTGCAGATATCGAGGACATTTATTTAGAAATTTTATTTATTTAGAAATTTTAGCATACATACAGAGGTACAAAAAAATACAGGTAAGAGCAGCATGCCAAAGCTGAAAGACCCCTTGGGGCCAGTGACCATGTGGTTTTAAGCTTCGAATACACAGTAGAGCTACAAGTGGAGGGAGAAGCAGGAAGGCCAGGACGAATGAAGCCAAACTACAAGAAAGGGGACTACACAGGAATGAGGAACTTCCTGAACAGGGTTCAGTGGGACAGAGAACTGGCAGGGAAGCCAGTTAATGAGATGATGGAATATGTAGCAACAAAATGCAAGGAGGCTGAGGAGAGGTTTGTACCCAAGGGTAACAGGAATAATGAAAAAGCCAGGATGAGCCCATGCTTTACCCAAAGGGGCAGGGAGGCAAAAACCAAGTGTGCCCAGGAATGGGAAGAAATATAGAAGGCGAAGGACCCAGGAGAATAAGGAGAGCAGGGCGTAGAGCCAGAAACGAATATGCACAGATAAGAAGGGAGGCCCCAAAGGACAAATAAAAAATGACATAGACCCGAAACCCCAAAACTGCCCTTTAAAACGTTGTACAGCCACATCGGGAAAGGAAACAACAGTCAAGGACCCAGGTAAATCAGGTTTAAGGAAGGAAGGAGGAGAGACAAAAAGAAATGACCGTGAAGTATGCCGGGAACTCAAAAAGGGAGTTTAAAAAGGGAAGTGTTCACAGAGGGGACAGAAGGGCCCTCCAAAAAGACGGAGAGGTGGGGCACACCCCCAAGTGCGGGAAACACGTGCACACAACCAGGAAAAAGTGAAGAGGCCACCAGTGAGTAGATACCCAAAGGCAATGGGGCCGATAAATTTTCCCCCAGGGGTATTGAGAGAGGGAGCGAGGGGCAAATTTTGTACCCCTAACAAAAAAATATTAATACATCTATCAAAACCCGGGGAGATTGCCTGAGGCAGGGGAAACAGAAAAATGTAGTCCAAATTTTTAAAAAAGGAAAACAGACATGAAGCTTTAAAATACGGGGACCAGTGCCCACTGACATGTATAGTATCCCAAAAAATCAGGGGGAAGTTATCAGGAGAAGAGTGGGGGAACCCTAGAAAAGGGAAAATTTTTTCAAACAGCCGCACCAAAAATGGTTTCCCGGGGCGGGAAAACCTGTGTCACAAACCTACTGGGTTCTTTGACATGGTGAGCAAAACAAGAGAGAGGGGGTGGGGGGGATTGCTATTTCCCTTGGGCTGCAAGGAAAGGGGTTCGGGCACAGTTCCACACAAGAGATTGGTGCAAAAAATGGGGGACCAAGCAGGGGTAACAGGGAAGGCACTACAATGGATCAGGGAATACTTGTCAGGAAGACAGCAGCGAGTCATGGTACGTGGCGAGGTGTCAGAGTGGGCACCTGTGACCAGCGGGGTCCCACAGGGGTCAGTCCTAGGACCAGTGCTGTTTCTGGTATTTGTGAAATGACATGACAGAAGGAATAGACTCTGAGGTGTCCCTGTTTGCAGATGACGTGAAGTTGATGAGAAGAATTCACTCGATCGAAGACCAGGCAGAACTACAAAGGGATCTGGACAGGCTGCAGACCTGGTCCAGCAATTGGCTCCTGGAGTTCAATCCCACCAAGTGCAAAGTCATGAAGATTGGGGAAGGGCAAAGAAGACTGCAGACAGAGTACAGTCTAGGGGCCAGAGACTACCAAACCTCACTCAAGGAAAAAGATCTTGGGGTGAGTATAACACCAGGCACATCTCCTGAAGCGCACATCAATCAAATAACTGCTGCAGCATATGGGCGCCTAGCAAACCTCAGAACAGCATTCCGACATCTTAATAAGGAATTGTTCAGGACACTGTACACCG